TCTTATAAAGCCTTTACATTTGACATTGTGATGGCAAAGTTAAACTTTGGAACGTCAGACTCACTTAACATTCTTGTTGAACGACTAACTGCTCCCACAGTACGCACCATTCTTACCGCTGCTCCAAACTAAAAGTACAACAGGCTGCAAACGCTTCAGGGTTTAGCTTCTTGTTGAAAGAATGACTAAAGCAAACACACTCGACTGCTGCTAGGGGGGTTCTACCATTGGAGTGTATACTAAGTTAAGTTCAAGGCTAAAGTGCAGACACAGAGAGATATTCATGGCCAACAACACCGAATCATCTCCGTCTTGTGACCACGTTGTAGTTTTGTTTCAATGGCCTCGACAAAAGAAGTGAATTAAACCTTGAAACTTGGCTTTGCGGATGGAGGGGAATGTTTATGACACTTTTCTTTTTGACACTTGACACCAAATTCACCACTCTTAATTGTTATGTAGTCCTTAAGAATAAATAGATGACATTAAACTCCTGCTGAACCTTGTAGACAAAAGAGGACAGCTAAATAGATAAATACTTAAATGATGTTCCTTGGCTTCTGCCCTTTCCTTCTCACTGAAGCTAGCTCCCTGTGGAATTCATGCTCAACAAATGCTGCAGCAGTTTCGAAAGGAGAAAAAGGGCAAGGCATGTGTACACTAGAAAACGGCATAACTAGCCATCAAGAAACCATTGATAAAGAAATTGCTAAATTATCCTTTAGTCCTCCATGGTCCTCATCTGTATAAAACAGGAGTCTCTCCCTCCTCTTGGAGCATGTTGGGGAACGACCCGGGAGGCTGTTGGATTGAGCTCTATACTTAATCTTGGCAACCACCCCAAAACACAGAAAGAAAGGTTGGGGGGTTGGGGGGGGTGGGTGGATGGCGAGAGAGAGAGACAGGCAGGAAGAGAGGAGAAAGAAGGAGAATCTATTCAAAAATTCCCAGCGAGGAAAGTCCTTGAAATATAGCCTGGAGAAACCAGCAGTTGAAACACGAACACACCTGAGTGAAGCCGAGGGCTCCAAACACAGCCTCGCCTCTAATGGTACGAGTGCTCAGCTCTTCGCAGTTGCCAGTTCAGGACCCACAGGGAAATAAGTAGCGAGCAGAATGAACTTTCTTTAGCGTGCTGACAGTGAGGAAGCCCAAGTGTGTCTAAAGCGCTACCTGTGTGCGCGCGTGTATCTATGACAGAGATAGACAAGCTGACAGAGACGCACCATGACTGTCGGCAGCGGCCCGTGGGGACTGTGCGTTTCCCGTGCCACTGAGCAAATGACATCTTTCTGCTCCACAAACACTCGCTCACATTAAGATCTGCAGGGACCGCGGGATGCTGTGCATAAACCGACCGTGTGTTTGTGTACAAGAGATGCACAAAAATGTGAAGGCAGTCAACTCTCTTGCCTTCTTTGAACTTGCTTGACTCAAGCCAAACAATTAGACAAGAAACAAAACACTTTCACACACACCTGCAAAATTCTTTCTGCTATACTCGTTCCCCTCCAAGCATCTAAATGAGTGTGTGTGTGTGTGTGTTTACCAGTCGAGGTGGACTTGCTGTGCTTACTAACATGGTGGGCTGTATTGAGAAGATGCCATCAGCGATTACGGTCACAGGGCCGAGTGGTGACAGCTTAAAGGCTCTTTTCTTTATTTCTCCACCCCCTTTGCTCACTGACACGCCTCCAGTGTGTGTGTGTGTGTGTGTGTGTGCGTGTGCGCGCTCTGAACTGCACAGCTAAAGGCTCCGGGTCATTTTCCATTCCAATCAGGGGTACCGGCTGCCCTGGCCACCCTGCAAAATCTAAACACTCCTACCAGCTGAGAAAGGGGCACAGGGAAACGTCAGCGAAAACACACACACACACACACACACACTTACAAATACTTAATTACAAGCCAGCATACGCTCAATACAGCATTTGAGATTCAAGAAAATATTTGTGCATTCATGCACATACACCAAAATATATAGCCACGGACACTTCCATACCGTGTAAAAACGAGCCACACACACACACACACACACACACACACACACACAGGGTCATGTGGGGCGGCCTTGGGCAATGGGAGGAGGGGGGGAGGAGAGCAGAGTCAGCCTTGCCCTCAGCCATGGCATCCTTTCCTTGCCAGCTCCATAAGCCTGGAGGGACTGAGGTAGAGGGGGGTAGGGGTGGGATCCATCCATTCTTCCCCCCTACAATTCACCCCCTGAAAAAAGAGCCCAGGCCTCCCAGCAGACAGGCTTACAAAGGGGTGAGATCACTCCCAAATAAAGGCTTTGTTGGTGTGCCAGTGTCAGTGTTGCCCTCTCTGGCCTACCAGAAACCTTGGCAGCTAGGTTCAGCCTTTCTGTTGGAAACAGCAGGCCTCAGTGGAAAATATAGTTTCAGGAGAGGTAGCAGGCACTAAGAATGCTAAAACACAGGAATATAATACATAAAGACAGAGAGGAATTGAAATGCATCTGGCCCACTAGCCTGTTTTCCTACCATGGGACGTTGCAGCGCATCTCCCTGGCCAAAAAATGTAAAAAGTAGTCTGATGTATGGATGTTAGAAATGCTGCCATAAGCACAAAAGTCCTGAGTTTAGAGTAGAAACTGGAATGAACAACAACATAAATCTGCTTACGGTAACTAACCACGATAAAGCCCCGAAGCCCAAACCTCCCAGATTCAACAACCAGGACTTAAAAGAAGAGGAAAAACAAAATATGCTAGGCCGACTGATGGTTTCCATGGCAACCAGATGGAGATCACGGACAAGAGACCAACAGAGACAGCGTAGCCTAGAGTCAAGAGGACCGCCTCCTCACCAGCTCCCCGCTGTAGCCTTTAGACAACCCGCCATCAAGGTGTGAGGAAATAGCAAACAGTCAGGAGAAGGCGAGTGAGAGCGAGAGGTATAATGTACGAGCCTGCAGGTGTTTTCAAATTGGGAGTATTTCAATTCCTTGTTGTTCTGCTCGGTCCCTAAGAAAAGCCCTGGCCTAGACAGCAGGCCAGACGTTTGCTGCAGACACACACGCGCGCTCTCACTTTATCTTCTAATTTTACTGCTTCTTCATCTGACCTCTTTTAATTGTCTCTCCCTCTCGTTACTGAGGAAGGGAGGGAAAATGGAGCGCTCTCTTGTTTCCTCTCCGGGACTAAACAATCCCAGTCTAATTTATTTTTTGAGGACAGAATGTGTACATGTGTTAATGGGAAAGTTGAATCAAATTAACTATAATTAGTCAAACTGAGAGGTGAGCAGAGGCAGAGAGGTACAGTATGTTACATGAGAGACTTGTTCAATGCCGGCAAATGGCAGCCCACCCCCGCCCTCCGCAAAAACACAAACGCATTCACTCTGCCACCTGCTGCACGCAACCAGCGACGCCACCCTCTCCGGAGCTCCCGACACCCGTCACCCTCGCTTCAACCCTCCTGAGCTCAGACTGTATGTGGCATGCAAACATGCCGACACACAAACTAGTTGTGTTGTGACACATTTCCACAAAAAAACCTGCGCGTGAATTTCGCAAGCGGCGGAATCTGACTCCTCTAATCTCGTCAAGATGACATTAACAGACATCTCATGAAGTGACGCGGTAATCTGTTTGGACAGACACTGCAGTGCAGGATTGCATGAGGATTATGAAGACAAGCAGTGGGGGCAGAAGGATAAGATGGTATAGATGATCTACACGTCATACAGCGAAGCAGCAGACAACCGCGATGGCCTCTGGGGTCTAGAACCAATTTGCTTTGTCTTGTCTGCAGCCCATAATGCTTTTTGTTTTGTAGGCAACTGTAATATTCCCTCAGATAACATACAAAAATTGTACATAACCCAAGTGAAAGCATTAAAGGGATATTCCAGAGAAAGATCCTAACATTTAGTCTTAAGTATGGATCAATCGCCATAAACTCTAGAGCCTACATTTCCCATAATGCAAATGAATACCATCTTTGGTTAGATCATCCACGACTCCAACAAAGGCTTTCTGCTAAAAAAAATTGCAGTCTCCATGCCCAAGCCGAATTAACCCTCATGACATTGTCATATTTTTGGGACTCGGTAAAGCCCCCTCCAGAGCCGCAGAGAACATTACACTACGGCCTACAGAGGCGGAATAGTTATCTGTGTGATGAATGAACTGAACTTGATGTGTAAAAATCCAGAGTCCCTGTAAAAGCCCCCCACCATCAACAGGTCCCCCACTCTACCAGGAGGCCAGTCAAGATAAAACTGGCCCTGCTAATAAGGTCGAAAGCAGCATTCAATCTGTCAGTAAGCGCCGCTGAATTTGTTGGCTGTATTAAATTGAAAGCTCGTCTTGGCTACAGCAGCAGTGACATGCAGCAAATCATTAGCTAAACGGCTAATTCTACAGATTAGCTCTTCTTGGCAGCCTTCTGGCTGGACAAGTTAAAAGGTGTTTTATTTTAACATTATACGATTCCATCAATGTGACGGGAACCATTTGGTTTAATGAATCGCTTCAAGGAAGATGGATTATATGAAGACTTATAAAAACAGTTAAGTGTATCCAATCCCATTAGAAAATATATACATGCAACGTACAGTTGGAGTGGCAATTTTTAATTGAACCTGCCTGAGTAATGATATAGACAAAATAAAGCACCAAGACCAATATCAGTGTCACAGTTTTAACTAACCTCAAATTAAAGACACATTTTGTCCTATTCTAATTTGCCCAATCTAGTAAATATGCACCTGGATACATAAAGGTGTTAATTAACTGAAGTGCCACTGAGCAACCACTTTTAAGATCAATATTACTTTGCAATATAATCATATTTTACTATTATTTAGGTATTAAAAACATAAAATTGGGGTAAATTAATTTTGAATAGTGTTATAAATAGTGTTATATAGTGTTATAAATAGTGTTATAAAACCGATTATTTTTGTCATTCTTTACGTCAGCTCACACTCTAAAGCACCGAGTCTCTGGGTGGATTGGGGAAGTTCACTCACCTGCATGCTCCAGTAGCATTTTGGCGACGTCCATGTGTCTGTTTAGCACAGCGTCGTGAAGTGGGCTGACTCCACCCACCTGGTTATTTATCACAGGGGCGGGGCGGTGACGTAGCAAAGCCTCCACACACCCAGCGCTGCCATGGTTGCACGCTTCATGCAGAGGCGTCCAGCCTGCATGGTCTGCATGGTCAGAAAAAACCAAGCACACACACACACACAAGCACATCACCTTTTATCATCGTTTTGTGGCTAAAACACTTAAATATACAATATAAAGATCTCTTCCATGTAAATGCTTTCTGTCAAGAATTTTCATGGAGGATAGTGATGTTTGGAAAATAATTTTGTGTATCAAGCAGTTGAATAGATATGTACATCTCTCAAAGTATGTTACAGTATTAGACAATTCGGAGAATGACTGGAGTGTCATGATGAAAAAGTAAAGAGTCTCGTGGGTGAGTGGTCGAACTCTTGCGGCTAAGTTGTTGGATAGTTCTTGGAGCTAACAACTCTAGCAGCAAATAAGCCAGCGGGGCTAACTGGAGAAACTGTGCTAAAATTGGTAGAAATGAACAAGACACCATTGCATCGCCTTAAGACAAAAGACATTAACACGACTGAACTACGGCTGCTAAAGATTGATTCGCTATTATGAATGTGTTATTGTTTGGAGGTTACAAGTACAAATCACTGCCTATGTACGTCTCGCCTAGACATATCAGCATTTCTAAAAAATATTAAAACACTTGAGTCCATCTTGATTTACAGCGTTTTGGTCCAAACTTAAAAACAGTCATGTCCTAAATAATCAAAATTTGACTATTTGGAGATCATCATAACTGTTGAATCTGTTTTATCTGACAACCAAAAATGTTCTTCCTCAGTTAACTCGGGCCTCGTTCAGGGAGACAACTGCAATGGAAACGGTCATTTTAACATTTTGCACATAGTTCTGCCTGATCACATTTTAGACATCGCCTCCTGCATAAGCCCCTACCAAGACGAAAGCCAATTTAGCTGCTATTAAAGGGCTATTACAAAATCGGCAAAATCTTTGAAACAGCATAACATTTCCATAAAAGGAGGGGAAGTCATTATATTTGACCTAAAGGGACAAAAGAAAGTCACTCTGAAATATCAAAAGGCTTTCAATTCACTTAGCAAAGTCACATAAAGCTGTAAATCTGAGCCGCCAAACCATCCAGATCTTTCTAGACACACCCTTTACATTTTAGCTAAAGGTTACCCTCACTGATGACGCATACGCACTTCTTTTTTCTCCTCACATCTTTTTCCCCCCCCAATGTTAATCGCTTTTCGAAACCCTATAGCAAACAGTGGGAGTGGAGTCAGATGACTGTGATACGGAGGCTTCAGAGAATAGGGAAAGCGAGAAAGTCTTACCTTTAATGTTGACGTCCGTGCCAGGAAGCGACAGGATCTGAAGCACGGTCTCCACTTGGTTCCTCTTGCAAGCTCTGTGGAGGAGGGTCTCTCCTTCGACCGGGACACGCACAACGGACAAACACACCCAAAAGAGAGAAGAGGCGGAAGAGATGAGAGCAATCCAAACTTAGGGTGTGCCCCGATGTCCTGCCCATTGTCCCTCTCCATATGGTGAACGCACCAATAAAATACCCCGGAAATGTCCCCAAACACCAAAAGAAAAAACCTGACCTAAAAAAAGTACGACCCGCCAATGAGGATGCGATTTAAGAAGAGTGATGAGAAAAGGGGGGGAGATCTTTCAAGGGAAAAAAATGGGAGGAAAAAAGAAATTAAAGATGGAGAGACTAATTTGCTTCGCTCTTTTTCTCTTTTATAGACACAGAGATCCACTAACACCCCGAGCCCAACAAAGTTAATATCGGGGCAGTCGGCGAGTAAATGAATGTAGCGGCGAGAATGTAGCGGTGCTTCCTGTCCGCTCATCCCTATATTGTTACTTGAGAGGAAGTTATGGTAGACAGCCCACGCACAAAGCCTCCAAAAAGGATTCTTCACAGATCCAGAGTTCAAAAGCTCCGCTGGGCATTGCGAGTATCACCACGTGACATTTAATCAGCAAACTACCAGTGAACAGGCGTGGAAACAAAATCAAGGATTCCATTTTTATTTTTTAAACACAATTTTCTTCTGCCCTCTTCCTTTTTTCTCCCTCTCATCTTTACCCGTCGCTCACTTTTTCCTGATATAATATTAAACCAGGAATATATTAGCGGGCCACAGCCCCCTCTTTTCATGTATGGCTGAACTTCAGAGGGAAGTTAAAGGCCAAGCATGAGTGGCTCTGTGCTTGCCAGTATGAAAAGCCCATAATAAATGCTTTACTAGCTCTCCCCAGGACGCCTCGCCTGTACAGGGGCTCCAGTCCAGCGCGCACAGACTGGGGCAGAAAGGAGAGGGAGGGAGGAAACAGTGGGGCAAGAAAGAAGAAGCAGTGAACAGAGTGAAAGGGTTTCCAGCATTTCAAAGCATATAGGGGAAATATTGGAAACCCTGGATCCTATTCATTCGGAGGAATTCCTTTCTTCCAGCAGGTGTCTTTGAGGTTGCAGAAGACGCATTAAATGTCATCCACCGGTAGTAAAGAGGTTGAAGAGTGGCGAGGGAAAAGAACACAGGAAAATGCTACGACTGATTATTAAAAAGCAACATTTATGTTCTCCCAAGAAACGTGACGCAAAACCTAACAAACAGAAAGAAGTTAAAAGATCATGTCCAGTTCAGAAACAGTCCTACAGTGTATCATAATATTTCTCTACACATTTCTGGAATAGTTTTAGAACGCTTCATATAATAATCATATTATATGAAGCTGTTCGAGGTTTAGAACAGCCAATGTCAACTGAAGAGACTCGAAAAGCCACAAAATAAGTCATTTCATTGCTGTAAAAATTCAAAAAAACAACCACTTTGTGTGTTCTCACAGTGAGATCACACAATGAAGCAGACTGCAACTAATTTCAAGCACTTCGTCAGATCGCGTCAATTTCATTTTGATATGCAACTCCATAAAATACAAATGACGGAAATCACTAAAATAAGGGACTTAAAAAGAACATTAGGGTCACGATCCAGTGCGAAAATAACTCCCTATTCTATGGTGGTATTCTGATTTTCATTCTGCAAATAGGTCACTGTATAATTAGTTTTAACTTGCATGTAAAAGTGCAGTTATTTGCAAAGGTAACATCAGAAAGCACTGGTGATTGTAAAGTATCAGCGCCAGAAACCAGAAGACGTCAATCCCTGAAGCAAACCAATATTTCCAATCTAAAAATCAACAACACCCACACGGAGGCTGGAGCCCAGTCCAAAATACAGTCCCTAATGAGTAAGCTGTACAGTGCGGCACGTCAGTGTTCTACATGGGCTGCTCTGCTATTACCGCGCTCTAAAACGCTGTGATAAAACATCCATTCCACTACACCCCATGTGTACACATCCTCGCAAATGCCAGGGCCAATCCACGCACTGTTAAATCACTTTAATGGCTCCAATTTGGACACAACGCCTCTATTATAGGGGTAATTGCATGCTCAGCATTTACAAGCACGGAAAGGATAAATCCGCCTGTCCTTTTCTATAAATCCCCTGTTTCACACTTTAATAGAAAAGTTAAATGTATGTGTTGCTCTTTATATCCCTCAGTCTGCTTGCTACACTCCTCTAAAGTGTCACTTGGCCCACTGATCCCTGGAACAAAAAAGGCTGCTGGAAGCCAGTAACAATGCTATTTGTAAGAAACGTGTTATAAAAAGGTATTCAGTGCTAGTTATTGGATATATTTAAAACTATTTGAAGACTGCTGTCGCTGGCTCTAAGAGTCACACGTTCAAATCCTCCAAATCGACATTACTGCAGCGCCTCCATTTTTTTTTTACCGGCATTAACGTAAGTGCCTATCATTTTACATTAAATTGGTGAAGATTTTATTTTTGGATACCTCCATTTAATAAGTCAAAAACAGCAACGGAGCCCCTTTGTGCCAACAGGAAGTAATAGGATACAAACACAGAGCGTCTGTTAAAAACGACAGTAAGCAAATGCACTGGCTTGGATTTTCCGTTGCGTTGGACAAAGCTGTCTGCCAAATGGACAAATAAAACAAAAAGTAATGTTCAAGCAAAGGCTCACAAAAATCTTTTGCCTCCGTCATCTTTTTGTCACTCTATGGTCCAAACATATTTTTTAATGAAGGCATATAAAGGCGCAGTAGGAATGTTGTGACTGACGAGCTACAGATCTGAATCAATATTCACTACAAAATCACTGGTTAGAAAAACCAGATCATAAAATAGACTGAGCAATTACATCAACATCAATGAGTTTTTACTGCCCAATCTGCACTGTCACACTCCTGAAGTAGTTTATGTTCCATTCTCGCCCAATGCAACTCCAGATAGCCCTACTGACCAGAATAAGAGTCAAGTAGTTCAGTGACAGTGTGCTTGGGATGTTCAGACCTCCACTCAGGTGTTAGGTGAGAAGTACATAAGGTTACCAAACTCCATGTACTAATATGTATGAAAAAGCACCTGTTAGGTATGGGACAACTTAAACCTTTTTCAAAACTAATAGAAGATGCCCTGACTGTGTTGAGCATAGGAAATAATTACACTTTGATCATTTTGTAAAGCAGCAACTTTTTTACAAAGTTATTGTTGATTGCTGGTAACCTGGAGTACCTTCGCATTCCCAAGAACAAAGAACCTAGCGTTTGAACTATGCTGCGTGGATGTTGACTAGTATAATAATAGCTTGTTTCAGAAAGCTAAAAGCAAACGGATTTCAAGCGACCACAAAAAGACAGCAGTTCTTGTTTGACAATCTCCATACAGTATATTCAGACTGATTTAGAATGAAATCTCGGCAGAGCCTCCAGAAGGAGATACGGAACTGAAGAAGAAAAAAAAAAAAAAAGAGAAGTTCATCCCAAATCCCTCAACCCCTCCTCAGCTACTTTGACAAAGATACTGAGGTTCCAGAAGGCGAGACAGATGCTCCAAAGCAAAGAAGTGCAGCATATAAGAAAGCAAGCTTACGTATGTGGGGGGAAGAAGCCTGAGAGAGAGAGAGGAAGGGAGCGAGAGAGAGAATGGGATGGGATGAGAGGGCGAGAGGGGAGGATGCTGTGCCGATGGTTCATCAAAAATTAATGCCGACCGCATCGGTATAGAGATCACGTAGTGGAAAAACAACACATGCCAACAGCCTTGAGTCTCCTGCCTCCGCCCTCCTCCTCTCCCCCCTCCTCCTCCTCTCCCTCCTTTGCACCGGCACAGGGCCTTTCTGATCAGGTGGAGGGGGGAGATATGAGCTCTGACACCTTAAAGAGTTCACACACAGTGCCATGCCTCTAATTGCAGGAAGTTCCACCAGTGCAGCCGCCGTATATCTGTAGCTCTACCCTAATTGCGGCATTTAATATCCCTAAAATTGAGATCTGAGGCACATTGTGCGTACTAATATGTGTTATTGTATGAGGAAGCCATTATTTCTGTCCGCGACTTTTATTTATTTATCTATTACTTTTTTTAAAAGGTGAATAAGACATGAGGAAAAAAAAGCAAAACAAAACAGCGCAGCCATGAATTTCAATGCGAACAGAACAAGTGGAGGAGGAGGCGGAATACGGACCAAACTCTGCCCGGCACACACACGCCAATTATGCAGCCGAGTTGCCTTTACAGCTGACTAGATGGAAGCGGCGTCCGATGCAAATCAATCACTCTCTCCATACATTATGTGCTCTTCATTAAACTGAAAGTGATGACAGAGCTATCATGTGCCTCTTTACTGATGACCTAGTGCAGTGCATCAGTCCATTAAAAGTCCGATCCTTGCAAATCTGCAGCGATATTGTCAAGCAGCGGTATGTGTGTGTGTGTGTGTGTATGTATGTATGTATGTATGTATGTGCCGTACCTGCTGCGTTGACTCTGTTCAAACCCCTGGGGATGTTCTCTTTCTCTGTGCTTGTTATATTCACCGAAGAGCTCCGAGCACTGTGTGGAGAGGACATGGTCAAAGGGGTAATGAGGAAAATATGCATGTATGTGCATTTACATACACAAGTCCAAAGTTTCAATGACCGACCAGCCTGACAGCGCGGAGACCTAGTGGTACAGAAAGTGGAACGGGCATTACTGTACTGTGAAAAGTGCCATTAGCAAAGGAATCCCTCGTGGCGTTGCATCATTTCATATATGAAATCTGACAATATCTGTCAAACCCCCTTCTGTGTTGGCCACACACACACACACTTCACACGCCCAATCCTCCATTCCCGTCTCCAAAGCACTTTTCCTCCCACTTAACGCCTCAAACGTAGAGACGGAGAATCCGATGTGAGCAAGCACATTAGGAGGAATAACTAGTAAAAGAAAGTGAAGCCTCTTCAAAGTAGTGGCGTGCTAATAGCTGTGGGCTGTCACTAGTACTGTGAGTGGGTATGGAAGATCTGCCTGCATGAAGTCTGACAGGTGTCTGGAGTGTATACGGCTGTGCACGTGCGCGTGCCCTGCATTGAAGCGGAGTGCCATCCGTATTACAGGGAAGAGGCTTGTTCCTTGGTAATTGGCTTGTTCAGTAGCCAGGAAGGAGCTCCCAGCAGTGAGGAGGAAACACACGTCCTGTCACGTTGCTTGTTATTAGCAGGGACAAGGCTGAGAAGAGATGAGATGAGCTCTGTGTGTGTGTGTGTGTGTGTGTGTGTGTGTGTGTGTGTGTGTGTGTGTTTGAAAGAGTCCATAAGAGTGTCTGGTATAAGGGCATACCACTTCTTATCTCAAACTACTTCACCCAAGTGTCCCCTGTCCATATAGGCTGGCAGCGGTGGCGGTTGACAGTACTTGGCTTGTACACGCCCCAGTCTCTCCTTCCCTCGTGGTCTACTTTAGGAAGCCAGCATGCTGTCAGTGGCCCGGCTATCAATGCTGGGCCTGGGGCGGCACGTTCCCTTGGAGGCAGAGTCTCAAGAAACTTGTGAGAAATACTGGAAGTAATGGGGAAGTGCATGTCGATAGCAAAAACAAAAACATGTCCCTTTTATCTGTGGAGCTGATGTAGTTGCAGGCTTTTCTTAAATCCAGCTGATTATCGAGTATGTTCAGGTCCGGTCAGAAGAGAAGAAGGCAAAGTAATAGTTCAACGCTTTGTAAAGATAACAGCAGTACGCAGAGCTTGATTAAGCCAGCAGGAGAAGATTTAGTGTAATTACAGCTCCCCTTCTGCTCAAGGCACTCACTGCCCAGCAGGCAAGTCAAACGGCCATCTAAGTAGTCGGTCTGTCAGCTTGGTATGGCTGGCACGTGTGCTCAAATGCCTGCCTGTCTGTTGGTGCAGAAGAAGCACACTCGCCATCTCACACACCACAGTGGCCTCAAGTCACAGTAAAACAGCCTAATGCGTTCTAACAGCCAGAGATGAAAGATAAAGGGGTCATGTGGCTCCTCTCAACCTCTATGACCTGCTCCTGCTCTTTTTCATGAATCCAATACCAAACATCTTCCTCGGATTTTGTCTCGTGTTCTACCGACAGTTTGAAAAGACCAAAAACTCAAAACTTCTATATTGAAACACCGCAGTCACATTCGTATTATTGAAAAATCAGCCTTTTTTCCAAATGTTGTCTTATCCTGTTAAGGACTGTGAATTACTGACAAGTGCTCTAACAACAAATATAGTTGAGTTCTTTATATAGAATATTTAAATGATTTGATTGAGTCATAGCAGCTCCAGCAACATAGAGAAGTGCATTGTAAATGCTTAGAAATTGAGGAGTGTGCCAGACTCTTAAATTCATCAACAAAAGATGTGTTAATTGGTTAAGAGTGTCAACATCACTGAAAGTATGCAGAATATCAGACATTCAAGCGTGAAAAATGAGGAAACAAGATTTTCTTTTGGTTTCTGTTCTCAATTCATCACAGGCTTTGTCATTCTGATTTCATTCTTTCTTTCAGGGTCAAATGATTTTACATGCCCTTTGGCATTTCTTTATCTCATCCGCACAGATTGCGTTCCTCGTTTTATTCAGTTCCTCTCATGTATATGTCAAAACAAACTAAACCCTTGAAACCGCGGGGAAAGCAGAAAGTAGAAAGAGCAGAAAGCAGTGATGGAGGGAAGAGGGGATCGGGTCAACACATGAACCAGTAGCCCTCGCATGAACTTGCTCCCTGGTGGCTCCTCCCCTTCCCCAGGCCAACTACCTGCTGGTGGAGTAGCAGATGTCTGATACCAAGCATGGAGAGTGTGTGTGTTTGCATTCAGAGAGGGACTTAGTATGTGAGTATGTGAGTGTAGATCAAGAGAGGTGAAGAAGGGGGGGGGGGGTGGTGAAGGCTGAGCGCTGGTGGTCGTAAGGGTAGACACAAAGGCCTGATGGGATATCCTAGTCTGTCTATCTGTCGGCTTCCTGTCCAAATCAAAACTCAGGACTGTGTGTGTGTGTGTGTGTGTGTGTGTGTGTGTGAGATGAGAGGGTCTAACCTCCCCATGCACCCCTCCTTTCAGCCAGCACACACTGATAGGATCAGACCTGGGCATGACCCGTCACATGCCAACTCCTCACGCTCCGTCTGACCTCCATTTGCCTCTCTCCAGCTTTCCCTTAGTCCCTTCATTCATGCATCTCTGCTTCCCACCCACCCACACTTTCATCCTCTCTCCAGGTGTTCCTTTGTTCCTTTTCACTCACATTTCTCATCGGGTCTGTACATTTCCCCCCGTTTTGCCTTTAAATGTATGAGTGGAAACCTGACAATGGAGGCACAGTAGACTGCTGGTTGACTAGTTCTGCTATTTTAGACACACACAAGATAAAAAAAATCCAAAAATAAATGAAAGACAGATGCAGCTGGTTTAAATACACTTAAATGTGCACTGTGCCTTTAAGGGACTTTTGGGAAAGCAACAAACCACAATGATAGATTTGATAGTTTTGATACAGTTTTAAAAAGGTTTAGCAATAGTGAAAGTGCAAACACTCACAGTGTTCACTGCCTAACTATATCTAAGGCAGTTAGCCTAAGAGTGCAGAGCAATAGACTGGTAATGATCTGCACACACTGTCATTTCAAATCCCCAGGCTGATCTGTAAACATAAGTTAACTTACCTAGGGTTTGGTAGTTTAAAATGTAGTCTAAAATAAGGCACCAAAATGAGAAAGCACCTGCAGGGTCAAAAATGTAAAGTGTAAAGTCCAATTTAAACTATTGGCCCGTGTGCAGCGCCGTCCTCTGCATGTATGTCTTCACAATGTTCTGCCTCAGGCTCTTATGAAAATGTGCCCTGAGAGATGAACAGTGGTATAGACGGACAGCTGTGTGTATCTGACCTGCAGCCGGTCCCCTGGCTGGTGCAGCTGTGGGAGGTGGGTCCGGTCCTGAGGCGAGCGCCGGTGGGACTCTGAGCTAAATTTTCCAGAGCAGGCATGTAGGACAGCACCTGTCAGAAACACACATACACACACACACACAAGGTTAGACATTGCCTTTACAGTGCAAATGGATGCTTGTGTCTTTATGGGATTGAAGAGGCACAAAGACATCAACCAGATGTTCTACCGCAAGGTAATACGATGGTTAGACTACATCCGCCATCTTTTTGTCAGTGACAGAGAACTGTAATATAATCTATATCAATATTTACACTGCAAAGTTAACTGCAGAACATCTGTGTTTTATTCCTTTTTATGGTAACACAAGAGCAAAGCAGAAAAATAAATCGGAATAACTAAAAGCGGCATATTGATCAAAGAATATTAAAATCAGTAATGCTGTTAGTTTCTTTAATTACTTTAGTATTTTCTGTGTTTTACAAACATTGGTATGTGTGTATATATGTGTGTGTAGTTTTATCAGAATTGTAATACACTTTCAAATCCAAAAGTTTTTTTTCCAGTATATGAACCGAAAACGGCTGCCAACTGAACTCTCTAAACTTACATTTTACAAAATGCCACTCAATGTCTACATGACTTACAAAACTAAGCAGCACATGACTGATACGATTGACACAAGTAAGAGGCGCATGCCTAAACTTATTACAAAACCTGCCAATGACAAAATAAATACAGGACTGATAAGGTTTCCTGTGAGTAGGTAATGGGAAATTGAGTGAAGAACAAGAAACAAACACACACAAGTCAACAAACCATTTTCTTAAAAGAGAGGGGTTCATCTCCAACTGTGAATCCACTTCTGCAGCAAAGACTCCTAAATATGGCATCTGCCATCATCAACTTAAGTCTGGTAGAGCGAATCCTGACAACCAGCTCTGCCAGAACCTCCGGAGATACATCTACAGGACAGAACAGAGGGAAAAAAGGTCAGATACGATCCTGTCAGTGATGGATTGAAAGAAAAAGAAAAGTGTCGCACTAGTGTAGTATTTTCTCTAAATACCAAAAGATATAATGGTAATTATTCTGCTAAATATTGTGTTTGAATTACTTGTAAACTATGTATTTCATCGCACATCTGGTGCAGTATTTCTAACATTTGTACTGCATAATTGGTCACATACTGTCGTGTATGAATGTAAGGCTTTTTCTATTTTTGTTCCATACCCTGGCTGATGACAGCAAAGTGCTCTGCTAGGTCTTTTAGGCCCTTTTCCACCAGGCTCTGGTTCAGCTTGAAGTGCTGCTGACACCAGAACTCCACCAACACAGACAGGAGGTCCAGCAGAGTGTCAGCCAAATGCAGCTTCTGCCTCTCATCCCTCTCAGCGTAGTCCTTCGGGGGCAATAAACAAGTTAGCACGCGTCAAGAGTAGGAGTGACTTTGATTTTCTGGTCCGATCAAAAATCTGACCCAATTGGTGATTATCTTGGCTGATGTAACACACCATCCAATGACATGCGAGTTCCACAGTATTTACCTCAATGACAGCCTGTACCAAGAGGTGGGTTAGTCGTTTCACAGCTCGGGACAACAGCGTGGAGCGCTCCCACACGGTCCAGAAGGTTCCATACAGCAAAGATCCTGATGCTGAAGCCTGAGAGACTCCTGCTGCCTCAGGCAGCACAAAACCCCTGAGCAGAAAGAAGAGACTGTTAAATGTAACAATCATTTATTCTAACAAAAGGAGTTGCATTAACATTTGATCCAACGTGTAGTCAATACAACATGCAGTTTAGTTTTGTAAGTGACAGCAAATAGTTGCCGACTTAAGGCTTTTCAAATAAATACTGGCAACTGCAAACTGAAAAATACTACACATCTAGTCTTATTCAAGTCTTGTTCCTAAATCCTAAAAATAAGTTCACATTAATCAACATATCAGTTTCCACCTTAATGTTAGTGCGCCATTTGAGGGAAAACCCCCTCACAACTCTGTCCATGCAGGAAGGATTAAACGCTTCGTCGGTGAACAGATATGAGAAAAAGCCCCGCCCCATCTCCCACACTGGATATATCAACGTTACCCGGCGGTGACAGAGTGGAGTTCCCCCTGGAAAAGCTTGAGGAAAAATGCCAGGAGGTCACTATGGAAATGTAACAGTCTTGGCAGGGCAGGGCCAGGGAGCGGGTGACAAGTGACCTCAGTAGACAGGCAGTAGCTGGAGGAACACACAAATATAGAGAAACAGAAAATATATGAGAAAGTAATTGTATTGCATTTTCAATAAATGTCACAAATGAATATTTAATACTCAATGCAAGTTCCATTATTGGAAAAGAGGGTTCAAGTGTCTGTTTCCTAACATTTCAAATGCAAATAGAATAACTTGACAGGGAATCTCATGTGATATGAGCTTTACCTGATGGCGGTCTCTAGAAAAGGCCACAGGCCCGTTTTACACCGAGGACACTGCAACACCTGGGCAAAATATTTCTTCACTGTGCTGGGAGCCAGCCAGGGGGGGTTGGTGATAAGCAGGTTATACATGACCTGCTGGAAGTTTCTCAGGAAGACGGATGTGGCGTTTCCCTGTGACAAAAGGAACAGACAACAATTGCAGATTGAATGTTTTGGATATTGGGATATTCAATAAAAATGTTAAATTACACTTTAGTCTAATAGCAGTAATAAAAAAAGCGACCAGAATTCGAAAAATGTAATGAAACTGGTTATACTTTGATGCAGTCCCTGAGGTGCATGCAGCAGCAGCAGGGGGGAATTTCTGCGGTCTGGTAATTCTGGTCTTACCTGCTGTGCGTATTCTAAGAGGGAGACCAGGTATGGTGCTGGTGGCAGCAGGCCCGGGAACATAGCACTTCTGATTGAGTCCAAGGCTTCGGTGAAGAGGCCACACTCTATCATACTACCAACATTGCTGAAGTCTGTTTCTGTAGCCTGGTGGAATAAAAGAACAATGATGAAAGGTAAGAGGAATATGGAAAGGAGGAGAAAACATTGCACTCAAAGAGACAGCCAGCAGAGAGAGGAGGGCAGAAGGGTAATGGAAGTAGGAAGTGAATGGGCATCAAAAGTTCCTGGAGGTCATTTCTGACTGTCTGTTACCGGCAAATAGCATATGGATTCAGAAAGTACAGAATGGAAACACATAAGCACTTATAATAGCAATCTGATGGAGATCCACTTGGGTAATGTATGGACACGACAGTGGAGAGTATTGTTAATAGGCCTGCCAATCACAACTCTCAGATCAGCTGACAGTGGTGGTTAAATTGGTGACCTGAGTATGATGCGCCCTTGCTCTAGATGTCACTTTCCATTGAAATGTATGACATAAAGGAAATTGAATGACCTGATCTTCCTGATGAAACACATAGTTATTTTAGAGATGTATGACAGTGATCAAGGGTGGGGGAGGCGGGTGGGTGTGTGCGCTTGTCTACCTGGGACTGTGGCCGGTACGGGTCATGGTAACCCAGAAATTCAAGGAGGCACAGTCTCGGCCGGCCCTAAAGCAAAAGACCCTATTAACACTGGAGAAAACATACAACACTGGGGACAAAAGGCAATTCAGGTGGGCAGAATGTAGACCAACGAAGAGCTTCTCTGCAACATGCTTTCACATGCACACAAACAAACACATACACACCTCCTGTTTGATGACATAGTCCCGGAGCTCTGTCTCCAGCTTAGAGAAGTCCACATCAACAAAACTGTCCTCTGTTGTCTCTGCTGGATCATCATTCGTTATGTTGAACTTCATATCCACACAATTGCTCTGCCAAAGGAAGAAAACGGCGGACAGTTTTAGACGTCTGAACAACATTCTCAAGTCAATATTCCTACATTTAAATAAAGCTTAAATTTAAAATCGTTAAAATAATAGGTTTGAGCAACCAATCCAGAGTCAAATAAAAGCCTTTAAGACTTGAGAACTGACTGCAAATAACACTGAGGAACACATTTAATATAAAAGATTGAATGGTAAAATGAAATTAGTACAACATGATGAAGCTAGATAATAAATGAAGACCATATATTTTACATAAATTAGTGTGACTTACCCCAAAGAGGTGCTGGACAATGTGGCTTACAGGGTAGCAAGGAGCATTGTGGGACTTTGAGTCCTCTGTGATGGGTTTAGCCATGACATGAGTGACGGAGGCATGAGTGGGAGGAGGGCTGTGGTATACTTTGGCCCGGCCTGCTTTCAGGAGCCTGGGAAATATTAAAGTAGGACTCATCTAGCATCAGACTCTGCAACATTTTATTCATACACAGATGGATTGTTGTGATATGCATTGAAGTATGTTTTCGTAACAGCTTACCGTTTGAACATGGCCCTGCGGGTGGGCTCTTGGACCATCAGGAGAACCCTCCAGCCCTGGAAGGCCCCGGTCACCCTCCCACTGGCCACCTTCTCCCTCCACTGCCTGACAGGGTAGACGGAAGACGCGACACCTGTGGTAATGGCAATTTCATAGGGTCCCTCTGTGAGCCAGGAACCATTCTTAAAACTGTCCAGCACATACTCTGGAGTCACAACCCACTTTCCTGGGAGGGGAACGAGAGAACAGTGGTGTTGTGTCAATCTTGAGACTTCAAAAAAAGGAGAGCATTGGAAGTAGTTCCGTTAGACAAGCAGTCTTGATATAGTCAGGGTGATTAGATATTCATTATTTTTCAGCATTAATAATAATCAGAGTGACTGACCTGCAGCACAGGCTGCCAAAAACTTCTCGCTGGACAAAACCTGAGGGATTATGAGATGGGTGGAGTCCTGCTGATAGACCTAGAAGATGATCACCGAATCAGTCTAATGACATGTAACAGACAACAACAAATGGCAGACGACCAGACCTAGTTTTTTATATGTAATAGATCAAAGATATTCCTGTAGGTGGGGCTTTAAAACAACGCAGTGTGATCATCATGACATAAATTGATTAATAATAATATCAAACTGTCTCCTAATCCTGTGAGACTAACTGTGAGGACTTAAACTACTACAGAGAAGGGGATATTTATACATGACATACATACACATATATAGTTAACGGATGATGCATACAGTACTGTCCCTGTAAATGAATGCAGTTCAGCACCACTGTCTGATTTACAGTTAGTACTGTATTATAATGAACTGCTACCATCCGAACACATAGGAGGATTCGAATTAGAAAGGCCTAATGCCCGACTGTGGTTAGACAAGTCGTTCGTTCAACGGATCGACAGAACATTCCTTGGATTCAGTTCAGTTCGATTCACTTTCATCAGGAAAATAGGAATGTTTTCATAAGTTGAAGGCCTTTTGCCAAACTATTTTATAGCCTCGGTTGTGCAAAACTCACTGAGCCGCCAATGTATTTTCCACCCAGCTGCTGGATTATCTGGACCAAAACTCTCTTCTTATCTTGGGTCTTGATCCCAGAGATCTGGAAAACGTGCGTGCAGCTCGCCATCCTGACGACGAGAATGAAGGTGAGACAAAATGAGGCGAAAATCTGCAGCATGCACATTAATTACACTACATTCACTGGAGAACACAATGCTGCAACTCTTGTTTTGACTAGATGACTTGGATTTTCTGCAAGTTAAGACAGGAAGGGGACAAATTATATTGCCTGAACTTAATGACGTATGGTGAAATATTGGGCATTTCACTTGCCAAATACTGGTTACTAGATCGGGAAGTTACTTGCACACGAACATAACAATATGGGTCAATTAAAACGGTGTCCTATCTGAATAGCTTTTGATAGACTTGTACCGTCACAGTGTCATTGTTGACTCAATTACCAAAAATCACCAGGATACAATTTAAAGTCTAAACACAGCTGGTTGATGGTATACCTTCCTCATTCCACTGATGGTCACTCACAGTATGTTCACAGGCGCGTCAAAACTGTGACACCCGACATCCAATGTCGCGAGCAGTGTTTTGTATCAGCGATTGGCTGCTTCTTCCAAAAATATGACCGACTTTGCTCAGTAGTGTTAATAAAAGTGGGATATACTAGATCATGAGGCAAATTCACCGCCCGACCGTCATGTGTTGACAGATTCACGGCATATAACTATTTAGGAGAGGGGACACTCTTCATATAACGTTAAAACGACTGTATCTTAGAATAAATGAGGTAAAAGTAAATGGCTATTATGTCTTAGGTAAATAATGTCAACAGTTAGTAAAATACACGTAAATTCCCGTCACTATACCGGAAATTCCCCCATTCGGTTTGTCAGTTGGACTAGTCCATCTAGCGGAAGTTTTCATCGAGGTACTTCCAGGTTGTTGTCACGGACGCTCTCTGTCCCCGGAAATAGCCACAATAACTGGATATCATGCGTACAGCACTGTAGCGGTTGAATAACAGGCATGTTTGATCGATCGATAACAATAACTTGATTCTGTGAGAGAGGCTGTTAATGAAGCCGCACGGCTGTTTGCTACAATGGTACGTCCCGTGACAGTGAAAGATAAGCTTCCCATCACAGTCATTTAATTATATCTCCGTTAACCTACGTTGCTGTTCGGTTTACCGTTTTGTTACAGCTACATTGTGCGTGTCGCTTAGACAAATGTCAACAATAAGTGACTAAATGAAGCTAGTCTTTTTTCCGCCCTAACGTTACATGTAATGGACTTTTAAACGAGAGCGAATATAAAGGAGCGTGTTAAAGGTAAGGAACACATGTTGAATCAATGCAGATGTTTATGTTTCACAGGTGCCATGTGAATCCAGCATATTTAATAAAAAAAAAAGATACAGATAATCTGCTAAAACCAGCAGGTACCGTGACTATTATTAGTTATGCAGAGACAAAGATCTGTATGTGTCACATGGCCAAATACCACAAACAAGCAATTGAAAGTCAACAGCAACAAGTATCTCTCTCTCACTGATATGTTGCTTAAATCTACCAACAGATGTTTCATTTTAACACTAGAATGTATTGGATAAAACTATGAGCATAGAATATTATCAAGTGAGCAATGGTATCAAGTTAATAGTCAAATTCAATTTTTGATAATCATGAACTGATGAAACATTAAAGGCACAAGTGAAACAAAAACACCAAACATTTCCTCTTCATTTGTGATGATCTGACACTTTTCTCTGATTTATAAGTTTGTCAACTTAATACATTTCGCTTGTACTATTGTTTGAACAAAACATGAACATTTACATTTTAACTGGTGGTTGCAGAAATTGTAACAGGCATTTTTTTTGTATTGTTTTTGATGCTCTGTGGATGAAATGATGAATCGGTTAATCAAAACTAGGATCCAGAAGGCCTGGATGCGTCTCACTAAGTGAGGTCACATGATCAAACACCACCATGAACAGCAAGTAACTCAAGAGCTCGACTCTCAGGGATGTGTTGCTGTCACCTAACCACTTATATTGTTAATACTGTTATGATACTAAAATAAAATGTAATGACAATATAATGCATTCTAAGCCCTGTAAATGAAATGATTTGAAATGATCATTTATCAGCCAGTTTACAAACTTAATCAACAACCATTGCGATAATCAATGAATTATTCATTGATTAATCATAAAAAGTCATTAATGAAGTATTATTAAGTACAAGACAAGAAATTAGACGATTTGGTGAATTGTGTATTTATCACTATAATCTGACATTTTTTACGAACTAAAAGATTGATCACTTATAAAGCATAATGACGATACAAATAATTGTTAGCTTTGTGGTTTGTGATGTATTGATAGATTTACTTTCTACTTGGCAGATTATTTGTCACCCGTGCAGTTATAAAACCAATAAAACCTTAATGTTTACGTCAATTCTCTTACAATAAATGCATTTTTAGGACAGGAGTATTTAACTTTACTGAAAGCCTGGCAGTTGGGATGCTATAAGCTGCACAATATGAGCTGCTCCAAGTGTGACAATATTGTCTTGTATTTCAATATTAATGTTAATGTAATGGACTCATTGTTCAGGGTACTTTAATACTGTTAAATGATGATGATTGTTCCACAAAACAGCAATGACAAGTCATATCAGGATTAAGTCATGTATTATTCATTCCCTCAGTGTAGGCTAATCACAGAGGCATTTGTTATGATGATGCCAAGCTGTTGCACCACAATTTCCGAACAGTCTTATTACACCACATATTTTAAGAAGATATTATGTACACATATTTCCCTATAGTAAGGGAAAAAAAAAGTGTCCAATATATTTTAACCAGATTTGTGCCTCCTAAATTGAGCAGAACTATCACAATATTAAATATGATGAGATTAAAGCCCATCACTAAGAAGACAGGACTTATTGTAAAAAAGCAAATCATTCAAAGGCAGTACAGTGTAGCAGGACCACATGGTTGCACAGTAACAGTTGAAGCCGTGCTCCCCCCTGGGCATGCATGAGAAGTGAGTAGTTCTCAGCAGTATTGTGATCTTAGAATATGCACCTATTTAATTTATTATGTTTCCTTTACAGCAGACTGTTAGGTGCCCCTCTTTAACATAATGTTGACTTTAACTTGACATGCTCTAAGTGGCTTTAAAGCGACGGCCTGGGGGACGTGCTGCTAAATATTTCAGGACAAACTCATTACTGTAAATGGGCCTGTGTGTTAGCCTAGCTGGGGTAGACAGGTAGCGGCAAGAGAGATAAGGCAGTGGTGTGTGTGTGTGTGTGTGTGTGTGTGTGTGTGTGTGTGTAAGCGGCTGTTTCTTCCCCTGTTCTAATAGCTGTGGAGTGGATGTCTCAGAAAGGCAGCGTCTCAGCGCCTGGCCCAGTTGTCCCTGTTGCAACACTGTGAAACACACAGGGGCTCCTCCAACATCTGCTTTGTAAAGAGCTAATGACAAGACAGTGGAGACCGGAAGATTTAAAGTGTAGTACTAATGAGGCCCTGTGTGCTGCTTGGAGAATCCTGACACACACTCACTTACATGCACACACTCATGCTCAAGGTAACAGATGATATGTTGGTAGACTAGGAGGTAGACACCCAGCAGACATACAGTACAGCGTACACATTCGGACCTTCTGTCCACCTGTCTGTCTGTCTTTCATGCATTTTAAGAGGAGTATGTTGTAGACAGCAAAAAAAGCACACACGCATACACTGTCTGGCTCAGCCCAAATAATTACAATGTTGAGTTCCTAATCCATGGATTTAAAATTGTATTCCCTTTTAGCGATGGCTGCGTATGGACCCCTGCTCAGACAGTGGCGCAGAGGGAGCATGATGATGAGGGGAAACAGTAAGAGAGAAGAAGAGAGGGAGAAATAATAAAGGACAAGCTTAACTGGTGAGGCTGTCAGCGGAGGAAAATAATATTTGTCCAGCTGGACAGGCCTCCCTTTGTGCAGGCTAAATGAATGTTGAGCTTCCTGTCTGCCCTGTCAGGGAGAGTGGCATCGACTGTATGCAGCAGCGAAGAAGCGGAGCGGAGTGTGGGGAGCTGTTTGGAGTTTGACAGGGATTATTAAAATCAGAGCAGATGACGAGGAAGGGGCGAGAGGCAGAGTGGGAGAAAGCCAAATTGACACAGACACTCTCCATTACCTTCCACTTGACTCGCGTTGATGACAATGTTGATATGAGACCCAGCAACACGGCACCGGCATGGGATTGGCTGTTAGCATGAGCGTTAAGCACCACAGGGTAGGGTAGGGTAGGGTAGGGTAGGGTAGGGTAGGGGGGGGGGGGGGGCAGGCGGCCCTCAGTTGTGGCAGAGACGTAAGGAGATGAGTTGTTTATTTAAAGCCTCAACTGAAGAGCATCTCACCTCATTGTTTATTTATTAAGTCTATTTTTTTTCATTCTTTGTTAACTCACTGTAATGTCAGTAGGTGGAAATGGTTCGAGGCTGAGGCAATGCATTTTGATCAGGGGTCCTCCGACTGCAAATGATTGTTTGAGGAAAGAGGAGGGGAACTGGAAGAAACTGTTTTTGTTGATGATAAGCTTCCTTTTGTTTCAGGTGTTTCAGGTCCAATTGATTTGTGCCTCCTAATAAGACTCCTGTTTGAGGAAATTTCAAATTATTCTAGTCCACATGACTGTGTCTGCGCGCGTGTGTGTGTGTGTGTGTGTACAGAATTACCCTGCATGTTCAGTTTCTTGACAGACAGCTGTGATAATACACTCCAGATCTCTGTTATTTGGTGTCAGCCTAAATTGTTGATTTAATCCTGACACCGTAGCCGTCTTTCTCCTTATTTTGCTTCATGAACTGGTGCATGTCATGCGGAGTGTTTGTTAAGTTATACAGTAGGGTGAGTCGTCTCTCTCTTTTCCCTGCAGAGCAGTATGGAGTGGCCAGGGGATTTTCCTGAAGACCATGCCTTTGTGGAGCTGCTGGTTCCAGGGCTTTCCAGTGAGCTGGACTTTGAACAACTCCTAAAAGACACAGAGGAGAAACTCAACCTCAATGCCAACAGGTCAGTCAGAGTAGAAATATGAAATCATGATTAAAAGCTGAAAGGCTGCATCCATATTCTGTTTTACTTTTCTCTTTCTCTCTCTGCCACTCTATCTTCCTCCTAATCACTCTACAAAGTTCAATCATGTCGATCTTCTGAATGTCCAATTTACCAATCACACTTTATGTGCCTTCATCATAGTTTTTTTAAATACATATTTCAGACTCATTCCAAGAGTGAATGTTGAATTTCTTTACTTACGTCTGAAAATGCCTGCATGTTTTCAAAAACACATCAACATTAAAACTTTTCATTTAAAATAAAGAGATTTCTTTCAACTGAAATAAATCCCTAATTTCAGCTATGTCTGCTTTCCTTAGTGGGAGTAAAATGATAAAGAGAAACCTCGTCAACACAACCCTTTAGAAATATGCCAGAAATATAGATCTGAGATCCTGACCCGACACACAGATGTCTAACAAACCATAAATCATTTTAAAAGTAGTTTATGTCTTAGTTGCTAACTAGTAACTGTAGTTGGTTTAAGTCACATTTGAGTCTTTTTAAAAATGTGCTTCTTAGTCAGTGGAAGACCTATATTTCAGGTCTGTTATTGTTTGTGGCGTTGGGATGCTGAGGGCAGATGATGAAGGACAGGCTAAATGTAGCAAGTGAACAAAGCCTCACTCTGGCACCATTAGTGTCTGGGTCTCATCCCTTCCTCACCCCCCCCCCCCCGCCCCTTCTCTCTCTCTTTCTTTCC